TTTAATTTAAAATTTAAAAACTCACCTTATTAATTTATAAAGTTAGGTATCATCATTTAACAAAGTAAATTTTTATTTTTTTATTTAGATTTTAATTAAATAAAATGACATAGTTTAAAGTTAAAGCTTTAATTTTTTTTCTTATAATATATAGGCAAGATACTAGTATTAGTCAATTAGATCTTGAAAAAAAATTTAAAAAAATATTTTAAAATTATGTCATTTTATTATAAAAAAATAAAACAAACTAATTTCTAATTTTAAAAAAAGTCATTTTTGGGGGGTGTTTGGCTTAGAATTTGGATAACAACTATTAGTTGTTGATTCTAATTGAATAAATTAAATATTTTTAATTTTAAATAACAATAATAGTCAATTATCATATTAATTATAGGCTATAAGATATATTTGAAAAGTTAATACATCCAAATGCCTACTTAATCTTTTTTCAATAAAAATTTATTAAAATAATATAATTTTAGAGTATTTTTACTTTTTAATTTTTTAGAGATTCTATTAATAAATACTTTTTTTATAAATAATAATATAATTTTATACTAACGAGACTATTGTTGAGTTGGTACCTACTAAATTAAAAACTTTAATTTATGGTTAAAATAAAAAATTAAAATTTTTGTACTACTAAATAATTAATTCTCTAATATATTAAAAAATAATATAAATTTATAATTATAATATATTATTAACTGATTAAATTTTTTTTATTTAAAATTTATTTATAATATTATATGTATATTTATTTATTTATTTAATAATATATTAAATTTATAATTCTATGTAATACTATAATTATAACATGCTTGCAATAAAATATGCATCATTAGAATTGGAATTTGGAAAGGTGAGCAAAATTCAGAGTTACATCATCAAAATTCAAGAACTCAAAATTCAGCCGAAAGACTTTTTGTAGGTGGACCAATAAAGCACCTATTCATTCGTTGATTTAGATTGATTTCTTATCTTCAAATTTTGAAAAGAAAAGCAAAAAGAAATGTTGTTTTTGGTTTTTCTAGTTTTATAAAAATTATAAATGTTAATATTGATTTAATTAATTAATTAAGTAAAATTATTCATATGATAATAATATTAAAATAAATATTAATTTTTATAATTTGTTATATAAATTAATTATAAAAAATTATATTTATTACGTTTTTAACTTAAATCTTAGAATAAAAATTAGACAAACTCTTGTTTTTACAGAGAAAAAAACAAAATGATTGCTTTCAAGGAAAATTAATTTCATGACAACTTAAGGAGTCTAGAAGTCCTAACCATAAACTAATAAATTTATTGCCTGCGTGGGTGCTGCTTTAGGAATATAAACACGAAGGATTATGGTTGGAACTTTTACTTCTGGTCCAATATAATTGTTGTTTTATTATATTTTTTAAATTAAAAATTTTAAAATAATTTGTATATTTAATTATAATATTTTTATAAAGGAAATACAGTAAAAAAATAAAGAGATTGTATGATTAATTAAAGTGATGAATACATAATAATAAAGTTAAAATAAGAAATAAAATTATTTGTCTATTTTAAAAATTTTAAAAATATAATTAATTTAGAATAAATATAAAATCAAAAATTTGATTTTAATAATAAGATAAAATAGTTATTTTAAAACCAAAAAAAGAAAAAGAAAAAAGTAATAGTATGCTAGATTTACAAGATTTCTTCTTCTTAAAATTTTAATATTGCTTCTTCCATCTCCACCATCTTAAGCTTCAAAGTTTAAACCTCCGAATCTGTCTGTTGAGGTGCCGTCAAAGCATTTAAGTATTGATTTTGAAACCCATAAGATTCATGAAATTATCGCTTAAAATTGAAACTAGAAAAATTATGGATTTCCTTTTTATAATTTTTTCAAAAAAAAATAAATAAATTGAGTATTAATTAACAATATAAAAAGAAATTTTCTTGTTAATCAAACCACAACATAACAAGTAACCATACATCTCCTTAATTTTGGTATAAAAAATTATTTAGTGACAATTTATATATATAATTTTATATATTATTTAATAATTAATTTTTTTACTTTACTAAAATATGTATTATTATATACATTTATTTAAAATATTTTAAATTTAAAAATTAAAAAAAAATTATTTCAAAAGTCAAAATTACTCATTTTAATAAATTCTTATTAAAAAAAATAAAATATTTTATTTTTAAAATATAAATTAAAGTGTCTCTTATCCTTTCTTATAATACTTTATTAAAATTATATAATTTAGATAAGAAGAAAAGTACTAATCCCTTATCTATATATCATTATGTAATCCTTAATTAAATTCCACTACAAAGTAAAAATTAAATTAAGGGAAAAAAAGAAGCTTCTTCTAATACTTTATTAAAATTATATAATTTAGATAAGAAGAAAAGTACTAATCCCTTATCTATATATCATTATGTAATCCTTAATTAAATTCCAGTTTTATCGACATGTGTTTTTGGCCAATAATTTAATGGATATTTTTCGACGGATATGTCCAATTGGATTGCTTTGACGGAGGGTCCTTCAATCACGGGATGTTGCCTGAGCATGAGAGAAAAGTCAGATTATATTGGAAGTTAATGTCAGTCAAAATCAATTTTATACACTGTACCACTGTAGGAGTTTTGACCTTATATTCGGCATCTTCATCATATGGCTTAAGTTTTTATGGCGTAAGTGCTTGAGCAAGCAACTTTGTTTTTACTTTTATCAGAAGTTGCTTTGGAATTATGGTTCTACACCGCCGCCCGGCGGCTATATTTGACACCTTCTGACGGGAATTTTTTTTTTTTAACGTATTACAATTTAAAAAAAGAATTTGAGTCTAACTTTTGAGTTGAGATTACATTTTACAATGAAATATATAATGTCACGAAATCAAGTACCCTTTTTACAATAATTTTTTTTCTTATTTTTATATAAAAATTTATTCTTCTAAATACTCAAATTTCCTGAAGAATCGACTACCGTATTACTCAAGGCTACCTGCTTAAAGTCTCCTTTAAAATAATAATATAATTAAGATATTTCGTAATATTATAAATTTATAATATATTATATTATTATATAAATATTTTTTTATTTATAAATTTATAAATTTATATACATTTATTTATTTAATAATACATTATATTTATTTAAAAATTTATTATAATTATAAATTTATAATTTTATATAATTTTATAACTATAATATTGTGAATTTAGGAACCTATTATCCACGTGTTATTGTTTTATTTATTTTTTAATTTTTCCTGTTCAAATCAAACACGTAATTTAATTTTCTGGGGTTCAGGAAAAAACGGACATACCCGTTTTAATTCTGCTGAGGTCAAAGGGCGTGCACCAGGAATCTGCGTGGCTTGGATGGGCAATGTTTTGACCACACATTATATATTATAGCCACACAAACTTTAAAACATTGGTTTCATTAAGTTTCCTCGTTAAAAATAATTAATAATTATAATCATTAATTAATAAATGATAAATTGTTTGATATTTATTATTTAATAAATTAAAATTAATTTATATATTAATATTTTAAAATAAGTTTAATATTTTTTATTATAAAATAATTGTTATTTTTAAATTTTTTCTTTAAATTAAAAGATTTAAAGATAATTTATCTATTTATTTATATTATTCTTAGAAAAAAATTAAAAGATAAAGTAAAATTTTTTATAATAGAATAATTATTTAAAATAAATAGATAATAATAAAATTAAAAAAATATTTACTTATTTTAATAAATAAATAAACAACAATTAATTTAAAACAAATTTAAAATCATATAGTTATTTTATGCTAAAAGAAGTACTTATCAGATGGATTTAAAAAAAAAAGAGAAAAAAAATTCTAAAATAACACCATTTATTAAAGTATTATAAGAAGAAATTAAAATAAATTTATTCTTACTTTATAAATAAGTTATTATATTTTTTAATAAAAATTTATTAAAATAATATAATTTTAAAAATATATATTTTTGATTTTTAAAAATCTAAGTGATAAACATTTTTTAAAAATATCATAATTGTCTATTTACAAGGACAAAAAAACTAATTTGTGTGGCCCGAACACAATAATTTGTGGCCATAACCACACCTAGTGTGTCACTGGATAGGATGGGCCAGGGCGGCAGTGCCAGTCTAACCCACTGCCCAGAGACATTGTTAGTCAGTTACAGGCCTAATGGAGCGTCATTACGCCGAGGAGGAAACACTAATAAAAAGAGCTTCTAAGAAAAGCCCAATTTGACTCTTTGGACCGAGGAAACCAAATTTTGCAAATCACAAAAAATTCTGATCTGAATTCATTAATAAAGGAGAATTCTAATGAATGGTTTAATGATTAAGAAACTAAAATTTTAAATTAGAGATTTTAAATTTAAGTTTTGAGTTGGATGGAGAGGGATTTGGGAATAGGAGATGATTATCTTTTCTTATATAATTTATAATTAGATGTATAAAAAAAATTCATTAATAAAGAAAAAAAGGATAAATCTTTATACCTTGTTAATTGTTCAAGAATTCTAATTTTAAATTGGATAATGATATGAGAATAATTTTTTTAAAATAATTTTTTAATATAATTTCCACACATTATTAAATAAGTTATTTGGATACAACATCATGGATTCTAATTAAATAAAAAAAGTCAATTATTAAATGATATCTAAAATTATATGAAAAAATTATATAAACAAGAGTTCACTATTTTACAATTTAAAATGTTTCAAAATGTAAATTAGAGACCCTTAAATTTCAAGAGCCCCTAATATTAAAGGACTCCTCTTTATTAAGAGTTACTATTTTATAATTAAAAATAATTTAAATCATAAAAATACCTTTTCATATAAACAAATGGGTATTTGAAAAATCAAGGTATTCTGCCATTAAAAAATGTCAAAATATTCAATAGAATCATTTATTAAATGGAGCATAATCAGGGACTGACTTAACAAACAGTCTTGATCATACGGGTTGTCATTTTCTTGATTTTCACTTTTTTTGTAAACAAATTATATCCCAATCATTTTCCTTTTAAAATATATAGCACCACTTTACTCGGGTTACGGAGATGGACCGTTAACAAAATGGGTCAGAATGCTACATGACAGCTACACACAAAAAAATATGCATATCATTCCATTAACTGCTTCAAAACGACCTATCTTTCTCTTTCTCATTTTCTTTTCGTTTCTTTTTGTGTGTGTGTGTGTGACTATTATAATTCTGTCCTTGATTTTTAATGGTGATGCTGGCAGTCGGTCACAAAAATATAAAAAAGTGAATTTTCTTCAAATGCATAAAATGTTGACTGCTTGTTGGCTTGTCCACTATTGATCACGGTGAAAATGGGAACTGCTTCTACTCGTGATGAAAAGAAAAGAAGTGGAGGGTATACATAATTTCAAAATGATGTGGAAAAGCAATGTTCCTTAATTTGACTGTTAGTTTTGATAGGCAGAGATTTTAATTCATAGTTTTCCAATTAAATTACATAGGTGGGCGGTATAAGTTTGACAAAAGCTTATCTATCTATCAATGAGTTTAATCAACTTAATACTTATGTTAATACTCAACTATTAAAAGTTTAAATTTCTTCAATTCTAAAACCAAAAGGGATGATTAACTTAAGAAACCCACCTAATAAGATTAATTTTCTCTCTCAAAATTAATCTTGGTGAACATGAATAGACCTTTCATTCACCCGATCATGTTGGACAAGCAGTGTCAAATGCATAGATTTAAACACTTGAGCAAAAGCAGCTACTAAGAGTCGTTTCTTCTTTCTAATTTTATAACCTATCGGTGAAAGAACTTTCTTTGTACATGTTATGAATAAAAGATGCATAGTCCGTTAACGACCTAAGTAGTTCAATGGTAATCTCCTTTAATTAAAAATAAAAAATTTTGAGTTCGAGTCACATGACATGCGAATGGAGTAAGATAAGAGATGAAAGATGATTGTCTCTTATTATACAACTAAGATAAAAAAAAAAAATGCATAGCCCATGAATTCATAAAAATCTAAACAAAAGGAGACTTTTTGTAGCACATGCAATTTATGGGTTATAAACTTCCAGCTAGCATTAATATTGTACATTTGATGAACCGCCGAACATTTAGTTTGGAGGGCGTGAATTTGCTGAAGATAAATGTCCTTCATGACAAATTAATCTCAACCATAAAATGATTAGTGCTATTAATTAAGTTACAATAATATTACACAAAATTATAAATTTACAATCATAACATATCATTAAATAAGTAAATTATACGATAGATTATTCAATGAAAATTGTTGATCATACAATAATGTATTATAATTATAAATTTATAATATCACGTGATATTATAACTATATAATTTTTATTTATTGAGAGTTCAAGAATAAGAGTTAATTAGCAATAACTCTCAATGTGTTAAATTAAACAAAAACCCGAATTTTCAATCTGAACTTGTTAAATTTCATGCCAGTCCAAGCATGAAAATCCCATTTTATCCCTACTCTTTTCTCTTACTTTCCATTCATTAGTTGAAGAAAAAAATGTTTTTCCATCCTCAAACTGGCAACGCATTTTGTAAGTCAAGTTATAGTAAATGTTTTACCAAATGACCATGTAGGCTGGTGGCATTCTTCTTTCTATTCCTCAACATAGAGGTATAATTAGATTTCAATCATAATTAAGTACAAATCTATGTACATGCAATTGCATCTCCTTAATCCTAAATCTAAATCGAGCAATAAAATTTTAACTAACTACAACTGGATACATAAAACTGAACTAATTAATCACACATATGGTGCATAATAATAAGTTGCATCCCTTCATCCTAATTTGAGCTAGCCTTGAAAATACAGATCATGTCAATTTCAAGGCTTTGTACTTTATACATATACAGTAGTGCTCTCATTTTTTGTCCATACTGAGAGATAACATGTAGAGGTTTGCACTTTGCAGTAATCCTTTTTCTCAAATTAATGTTTCAGCTTGTTTTTCTCTCAAAAAGGAAATTATTAGTTAATAGGATTCAATATCAATATTGGTAAAAAGAAAAAAAAAAGTAATAATTTTTCTTTCTTCTATATATTGCTCCTAATTAATTAATTAAACCCCCTCAAGCCCTTCCTTATGTAAAAAGAAGAAGGGTAGGTTCATTCTTCAGTACTTCACCTGTCACTGTTGACTCAGTATTATGAGCCATTTCTTCAGTGAATTTATTGGATCGAGGAGAAGGAATGGCAATTGTAAGGTCAAGATTCAAATTGGGAAGCAAAGCAGCAGATTTTCCATCTTCTTCTTCAAGAGAACTTGCTGAATCTGAAATCCCATTATTTTCACCGGAGGGTGCTATTACTTTCTGCTGCTTGTATGCATCCATAGTGTTCTTTGATGTGGGAGGAGGAGAAACATGTTGGGGTTGAGGACGAAGGGGAATATGGTTCAGCTTATGGTTGTTGGGATCAATCCCCATTTTTATCAGCTTTCTCTTGATATGAGAGTTCCAATAATTCTTCACCTCATTATCTGTTCTTCCTGGTAATCTTCCAGCAATCAATGACCACCTAAAACCAATTAAAACATAAACATTTTTTAACAAATTCTACGTATGTCCTAATATTGCTGGGGAAATTTCGTTACAGTGTCTATCTAATATGAGATACGTGTTTGACATTATTTTGAACCTAAAGCCTAAATTATTGAATACATATATATGTCTGTTTATGTTTGTATGTGTGTGTGTGTCTCTCTCTATATATAACTATATGTTAGCGTCTGTATATATACATAACATAACTATATATGCAATATGCATTATATGTATGGAAAAGGAGAGTCATTATTTATATATACCTGTTACCAAGGAGGGCATGGAGCTTGATAATAAGGTCTTCTTCATCTTGAGCAAAGTTACCGCGTTTGATATCAGGCCTGAGGTAATTTATCCATCTCAGTCTACAGCTTTTTCCACACCGGTGCAAACCTGTTTTTGAAGAAGATAAACAAATTAAGTTAGTTGGAAAAGAAAAAAGAGCAAATTAATTAAAATTTAAACTCCATGAAGGTCTGGTAGTAGCTAGTAGAAGGGATTAAGGCGGGTTGTTGAACCTGCAGCCTTGGGAAGGGAACGCCAGCAGCCTTCGCCATGAGTCCTTATGTAATCAATGAGCTTCTGGTCTTCTTGCTTGGACCAGGCTCCCTTGTTCGTGCCTTCTTTGTCACAGCAAGGCTTTCTCATTGCCCACACAAACGACTTCGTTTGCAAAACAACCCGGAGCTTTTCCAACAATGAAGCGACAATAATAAAAGGGAGAAATAATGTTGAAAGAAAGAAGATGAGGAAAAGGGGGATAGGTGGACGAAGGGCACTAGAAAGTAGAATATGGGGATAGATATAGAGGGTGGGAGTTCAGGGGGAGGTGTATATGTAACTATGTATAGTTGACTTGGACTGGTCGTTTTGGGAGTTTAGGTGGGTCACGATGTGTGTACTATGAAAAATAGTGAGGATAAGGACTTTGTTATGGATATTAGTCTCCCCTTTGTTTACTGTTAAGTAAGTGTCTCTTTCATTTCACCTACTCGATGTGTTGTATATTTGTACCATTTTTTTTTTCATAGCTTTTAATTCTGTACGTGAAGTATATATACATAGAGGATATTTATTAATATATATTTTAATTTAATATATTATATAATATATTTATTAAAAAATTATTAATTTTAAGATAAAATTAAAACTAAATAAAATTAAAATTATAATCATATATTTAAAATATAAGAATTAATTAAATTAAATCATATTTATATTACATTTTAATAATTAAACTGAATAAATAATAAAAATATATTAAATCAAATATGTACTAATTATTTATTTATATATATAAATATATATTCAAATTGTGAGCTACGTACTCGACACATACTCCATGGCAATGCTCAATTGTTTTCTGAAAAACTATTCATAAAGAATAAAAGAATCTCATAATTTTATATGAAAGTAATTAATATAAATGAGCTCTTTCAATTTATGAGACGTATGAATTGGTGTATATATATTAACTCACTAATATCACACAACAATAAAAATATTGAGATAATTTTGTTTTTGTGAAAAAAAAAAAAGTTACCTCTTACATGGTTACATTTCTCTCTTGATGCTAACTTATAATTAAAGTCTGGCGCACAGCACAATAAGAATTCATGATTTCGGCAAACAAAATCGCTAAGCTGAGTTAGTATCGCAAGTAGTATTCATTAAGTGGTTGAAGCCTCTTCAATGCTAAAGTAACTAAATTTTATTTTTTTAAAAGTATTTATTTACTGATTAAAAAAAATTCTGATGATCAAGAAAACAACCTCACTTCAATTACAGGCACTTAGCCACATATATGAGAGAAATATCATCAGAACGTCCATGATTTTTCTTTTTTACAGCAGTCTATAATTATTTATGGATAAATTTAACCAAATGTTTTGTTCATCAAACTATATAAAATTAACTATTAAATAGAATAAATCCCTGATATTGAGTGATGTTTCTCCATACAACAGTTTGACTTGCCTTGCAAATTACGGAACCAGGGAATCAAATTTAAATGAGCACTTAAAGTTTATTTCGATGAAAATTAAATTGATTGGAAACATATCTTAGAATATAAGGAAAATTAATTGCATTAATTAGTCGTGGTCCAGATGCTAAGCGTTGCATGTAGAAGTGAGCTGGGGATGTTTGAATTGGAGGCATATTTCATTATTCCAAGGCATAATTAATCTAATTTATTAGTTCATTGGTAATCAGATCCTAATTGTACATCTTATCATATGCAACATTGACATTCAAATTACAAGCAACTCATTTTTTCAACTTATAAAGCAATCAAGCCAGTCTTTGAAGGATCACACACCAGCAATTTCCTATGAATGATGTTCATATACTTGTGACATAATATCCAAACAAATAAGAAGATGACATCTCTTCATCTCATGTAAAAATTAATGTTTTGATCACGTAAAAAATTATTAATGACTTCTAAATATAAGATGGATAAGTTTTTAAAATATCGGATTTTTATTTATTAAGTTATCATATCATAAGTATATGATAACACATAATTTTTTGCTTGACAAAATTTCACAACTTCAATATTATTTGTACCTTTGGTTGACCAGTAGTAGATTTCTCTACAAATCGACATCCTCTAGCTAATTAGCATCTCAATATCAAAAATTTAATAAATAACCCATATTAGAAAAGGAATAACAAAGCTTCCTGTCATTACATTGCAATTCTTTTGCCTCAAGATGTTAGTTAGGAGAATCATACATGGGTCAAGGGAAAGTGGAGCATTATTAATGATTACCAAAAGGAAGAAATTTAGTATTAATGTTCTAGAAACTAACAATAAAAACAAAATAAAGCCAAGAAGAATTTTTTTAATGAGAGTAAATTATTACATTTTTTTTACGGTAAGAAATATAGTTAGTAAATTAATATTTATTCAAGAATCAATTGATAAGTCAACTTTATAATAATGTATTACGCTCCACCTTACTTCTCACATGAAGAAGCTTGACCATTTTGACTACACAAAAAAATACAAATTACTACATATTTAAATAAATACAGATTGACAAAAGAGAATTTATGAAACTCCAAAATTCAACTAAGAGAAAGAAATTCCTATTAAGCTAAAATCTTAGGCACTAGGCCAGAGCATAAGGATCATGGGAAGAAGATTTGTTATGCATATGTAGTTGGAATTTTTTAATTTGACCCTCTCTTTTGTATCTCCTGAAGACTAAAAGCTGCCACCATTGTTTGCGGAATCTAAAAACCTGAAAATTTCTAGGAGACAGACGCCCACCAAACTAGTGTAAATTTAAAAATATGACACAGCACAGTTTCTCATGATCTACCTATTGGTTTAAATGTCAATTTAGTCTTTAAATTTTACATTTAAACACTTTTGGTCCCTAAATTATTTTTAACATTTTTTTTATTCACTCAACTCTACAAGCCGCATATTTTTCATTATTTTATTAGTTAAGTGATGATATAGCCGTTAACTCATTTTAAAAGTTATTTTTCTTCTATTTTTTGATGACCTAATAATTGTAAGTAGGTCCCCTACTTTAATTGGACAAAATGCATAATGTTTATATTAAAAATTTTAACTTAAATAGTTAAAATAATAAATTTAAAATTTTAATTTAAAATTTAAAAACTCACCTTATTAATTTA